TACGGTTTACCCTAAGCAGACTGATAATATAAGATCCTATGTTCTTATTGCATTATTTACATTACATCATGTCCATGACATGTGAGAGTTGCTTTGAATGGCTAATTGTTCTGTCTTCTCTTATTTGCACCTATGGGTTCTTCAAGTTCCCATATTTGCTAATATTTTGTTCCCACAATTCTCTGAAATTCCATTCATCCAGAAAAGGTAATGATATTCAACTTCAGATTTAAAATAAAAATATGAGTCAATTCTGTCCTGGCCACTCATAAACATTTGCATGCTCAATGTATTCAACCACGTAAAATGAATATGTTCAATAAAATTTTTTACATAATTCCTACAAAATGCAGCCCATGTGTTTGAATTCATTTGCCCACCTCAACTAGAGTGCATGACTCATACATCAGTTATCGAGTTTTAATATCATCCATTTGTCAGACTAAAATTCTTATAGGTAAACTCTGACTACAGAGATGAGCGCAGTGCAAGATAAAAGCAATTGCATTATCAGCTCATTTCTTATTATTTTATTCGTATTGTAACAAAAATAATGCAATAAAAAATAAGGAACATTTCAATTTACTTAATCTGATTATCAACTTCAATCAATTGTCTTTATAATCATCAGTCATAAAATTTATAAGGACTACAGAAAAGATATGCGCCTACGTTAATAGTACATCCATAATAGATACAATTTCTGGTAGGGAAGTTCATAAAATATAAGCAATTATACTAGTGACTTGTTGGTTGATTTTTACAGCCCGTAGTGAAGTTGCGTGCAATCGATAAACCTGCTAAGAATCTAGATTTGTATATTATCCCTGATTATAAATATTACTAATTATTACTTATTTATGTGTTCTATGTACTGCATTCTGGCTAATTATGTAAATCATAAAAGGGTTATAACATATTCTGAAAAGGGTTTGCATTAGGTAAGTTTTATGAAAGAAAATAAGGACATAATTTAACTTCAGGAATGTTCATTAGTTAGCATGACAGTGCTTTGAAATTAGATCTATAGTTTTCAGTTTTTTCTTCCACTGCAAGAGATGAAGTATGTATAATGAAGCTGGTAGATCAATAGAAGTGCCATATATGATCCATAGATTTTACTCTGGTTACATGATCCCTTGCATGAAATCTGGCTTGTGCAATGTGTAGGTAGCTTTCAGATGTAACCACTCCAGTGTTGTGCTGATTTGTGCATTTGTATCATAAATGCAAACAGCGTACCATAGTGTTCACAAAGCTTGTGGCAGGACATGCTCAAACTATTGAACAAAGTTCAAAGCTTTATGGTGCAAACTATTGTCCATTTCAATTGATTACACAAGTATATTATTCACAAGCATATTCATGGAACATTCCTGAAATAATAGGGACATTTTCATTCCTATATATAATTGGGATCCATAAATTACCTACCAAATCCATTTATTGTCATTTAATTTGGAATCTATGGACAAAATTCTACCTTCATTTCCACAGTATTCCTACTAAGTTGTCAAACCAAACTGAGCATCGAGTACATGCAAATATGTTGTAATCTTTTACCATTGATTGGTCAATATTGCCTCAACAAACTTTATGCATCAAAATTAAATTGAATAACCACATGTCATTTTTACTTGTTTATAAGCTGTTCTTTTAAATTGTGAAACCTTTTTCATAAGGTTTCTGATATTCANAATTGTTTTTGAGTTTTGGGGGTTTTTGTTAAAAAAACGAAAAGTGGTCAAAGTTACCCCGCCGGTCAAAGTAACCCCATTTTACGGTATATGGTAATATCACATCGATAAAAGAAAAAGAGGTAAAACTTGCAGAAAATGTAATTTATTCTACCTCTACATCATCTACAATGAAAGAGGAGGGCTTCAGAGTACTGTTGGTAATGGATGAGTACACTCATCATGCTTCAAATGTTTTAAAATGAAATTTTATTCCAAGTGTTCTGAGTAGCCCCGTTTGACAGGGCTACTCGGGACACTCTTTTTTTGCTTCTGGCACCTTACGAATAGCATATGGAATTTTTTTGGAAAAGCCATGTGATAGCCCTCGCAAAGAGCTTTGAAATGAGGCTAAACTTGTTTGTGAAATGTTTCATGGTAAGAAATTATGAATGAAAAACGTTTGAAATCGTCCTGAGTAGCCCCGGTTGACGGTATTGAACAAAGTTCAAAGCTTTATGGTGCAAACTATTGTCCATTTTGAATGACTACATAAGTATATTTTTCACAAGCGTATTCATGGAACATTCCTGTAGTAATATTGGCATTTTCATTCCTATATATAATTGGGATCCATAAATTACCTACCAAATCCATATATTGTCATTTAATTTGAAATCTATGGACAAAATTCTATCTTTATTCCCACAGTATTTCTACAAAGTTGTCAAACCAAACTGAGCATCGAGTACTTGCAAATTTGTTGTATTCTTTTACCATTGATTGGTCAATATAACCTCAACAAACTTTATGCATCAAAATTAAATTGAATAACCACATGTCATTTCTACTTGTTTATAAGCTGTTCTTTTAAATTGTGAAACCTTTTTCATAAGGTTTCTGACATTCATAACTGATCATTTTTGCATTGCAGTTCTGAAAATTATAAATCCTGTTCATCAAGTTATAAATTCTAAATTTAATACAAATTTTTGGGATTTCAATTCTGAGAGCATCACCACTAGATAACTTTAGTAACACCATATGACACATACCTAAGTTCTTAAAATCCTGCCTCTCTCATTTATAAAAGTAATTCATGCCTGTAAACAATAAACATTTTCTAAAAGACATGACACATTCAAAAACTCACAATCAGAGACAAAATTATTCATGAGTCCTCTTTTGTTTTCAGTGTTATCTAAATTGAAGTTGGCAAAACAATATTGAGTAAAACATGCACAAAAAAAACTGTGTAAGGAGAAGTAAAAAGAGGCTATTAAACTTTGAAACAACTTTTCATCATTTAATTAAATCTCCTTATGGATCAGATCTACCTATGTCTACATATCATTTTGACAGGTATGAAATATTGCAGCCAGGGTTGTCAATGATTAAATCAAAATGATTAAATCACTTGATTTTTTTATAAAAAAAAAATCATAATTTTTTTTATTTATTTGATTTTTGTTTTGTTCTTATGTATTTAAATATATTGAGTGGCAGTCTTTGATTTATTTTGAGGTATTGTTATTCATGGTTTAGTATGAATGTACTATGAATGACAAATGGTATATAAACTTGTTGCCTTTAGTGTGTATTAGGTTCCAATAAATTAAATGTTTTTGGTACAGAGGCATCAAGTGTTGCAATACATTGTACGTAGCTAGCAGCTTAGCCTATTCTTATAAGGCTATAAGTAGTCATGAACTATTTGACTATTTGTTATATATTGATTACAATATACAATTTAAATGTGTTAGCTAGCTTATACAGAGTGAGGCAGAACCGATTGAGAAGTTTTGAGGCCAAATAAAAGAGTAATGGAGGTAACATACCATTTAAAATACTTATGTTTTGAAAGAAATATCAGGAAGATGGTGTCTGTTAGCTGCATCACACTGTTGGAGTCATTCTCAGAAGTTTCCTACAGCACGTTCACACATATGGCGAGGTATGGCCATAACCTCTGCTGCAATAATCTGTCCCCTAAGCAGAGGTAGGGTGTGAGGGCGACTTCTGAACAGGAATGTGCAGTCAGTCACTCAGTCACTACTAGTCGGTGTGTTTAGGGTGTAGAGTCTGGTAGATTTATAGGACATAAAACTAGTAGATCTATTGATAGTGCTGTGCACTGTGCTATCAGCTACCTATCTGTTATGTGACTCTTCAATGTTTAGAAGATCTGCATTCCTGAAGTGTTTTTGTATATTGAAGCCAGTTAAATGGTCAATATTTAGCTTGTTACCTTGCTCCATACAAACTTTACAAAGCTAATGAATACACTTATGAATAATTGTTTACCCAAAAATCCCAAAGTGGTAAACACCACCTTGGCCTCTTGGCCATTATTAGAGGCAATAAGTGCCCTTTTTAGCCATCCATTATAATCCATATACAGTGCTGTTATTGTTAGTAGGCTAATTGCAACATAAAAAATAACCTTTCAAAAAGACAAAAAAAAACTAAAAAATGAAAAAATCAAATAAATAAAAAAATCATGAAAAAATAAGAAAAAATCATTGATTTTTTATTTATTTATTTTTTTATTAAAAAAAATAAAAAAAAATCACCAACCCTGATTGCAGCTCTCAAGTCTTGTATTTAGTTTCATACTGTAACAGAAGAATTGTAATAAAAGTTTATTGGTTATTTAATCATTGAACGCGTGTTTATATACATATGCCAGTCATTAGTTAGTAGGCTTTCCAGTTGATAACTCTGAGAGTGCTGGTTTTTAATATACCTATAGAGTTTGTAATGAAATGGATCAGAAATGCAACAAATATTTCATGTGTAATAGTCACACAATACAAATATATCAAGTGTACTCCTGTTTTACATTTGAATCTGAGCTCGCCACCTAGTCACTTCCCTTGCATAATTTTGTCAAATCTAAACAGATCTTGACCTAGTAAGCAACAAAGCTATTTACTCATAATATAATTTTTTTTGTCTGCTTCATTTACACATGGCCAGTGCCTTTCCCAAATTCATCAGCATATTTGGGCAGAAATATTACAGCACATCCATCTGTCAACCTACCTAGGCTTAACTTATTGACATGAAAATATTTTGACAAAATTAACACCTAAGCAGATTTAATACCAAAGCTCATTGTAGCGCAATTGACATTGCGTTACAATGAGTACCATCTCAAATATCCAGGGAGCAGATCAAGTGGTGTATGTACATTGTAAAATACACTGACTCACTTCACTGCCTGTATGTTCATTGAATGTAATGTATGACATTTACTCGTGCATTTTCTAGGTGCCAGATAACCTGCTAATGTATATGTATGCGGATGCTGGAAAAATGATGAAAATGATGAATACTACCACTAGAAAACAATGTTCTTTAGTCCAATACTAGAGAAAACAATGCTTGTTATATGTGTGGCCAACTGACCTATGTAGTCTAGTAAGTGGGAATACTGTTGGAAGTGTATATGTATATAGTGGGTATGTTGGAAGTATACACGTACAAGATAACGTAATTGTTATGCATAAATTCTGCCACCTAAAAAGGTCATTAATTAAAATACAGTTATTATTTTCCTCGGCGCAGGTAGTATTTGATGAAGACCGTGGGCTCGAGCGAATACCTTATGCAGGAGCAGTACAACTTTGAGTCCTCCACATCGGCTCTACTCCCTCAGTCACCTCCTATTGTTCGACAGCAGAGCAGCAGTAACTCCACCATGCGCAAGTATCAACAGCTAACCCTGGCCATCATGGCCGTGGTCAGCTTTGTGGCCTTCATATACTACAAACATGAATACGAACGTTTACGCTACACTTTACAGTACATGGAGACTTTTGGTGAGCCGCCTCCACTTGATAAGGAAATGTCTCAGCAATGTTTGTTCATGGCACAACTGAGATCTGCCACTCCTGCTGCTGAGTGGACCACCGTCTCCCCTGACATCGCCGTGTATACTTCGTTTTGGGACGATTACAGTGGCCTGGGCGAGGCTAAACTAAGAACCATAGCCTTGATCTCGAACTCGTTGCACCCTACCAACGACCTTGATGTTAAAGTCTCTTATGAAACAGGGGAATATGTTCTTGCTTCGTGCGAAATGGAAAAAGCTGAGAATCGTAACCATGTTCGTGGTGCAAGTGATGCCTTCCATGTTGTTTATCTCGTGTGCAGTCCAGTATATACCAAAGACACGCAGCATTTGCATACTGTCGCCCCATACCTTGTCCAGTTCAGCACCGAACAAGGCAAGTGGACAGATTATAAATTCGTTCATGAGAGTGATAGTTATAAAACTATGCTGGACAAGAGTGCTGTATGTGTACCTCCCAACACATCTCCTACTCATTCCCTTAACTATGTTGAGTTTATCTCCTTCTATCAAGTGCTAGGCGTGAAGAAGTTTGTATTTTATGGCAATGGTCTCACCCCCACGACGCGCGAGCTTTTGAATAAATATGTTGATGAAATGGCTATCATGGTTGAAGAGAAAAGCTTTAATTACGTCCCAGCTCTTCATTCTCTGCAAAGTGGCGAAGGCTTGAAAACGCTCGAATACATCACGCGACAAGTTGTTGAACTCGACTGTATGTACAGACATAGGGATGCCTTTGAAAATGTCATTGTATTGTCTATCAACGAGTTCATCATCCCAAACCAGAAACAGAGTCTGCTGGAAGTGCTGAAGTCTTTGTCCGGAGCGAGTGGTCGAGGAAAAGCCGTATCAGAATTCCACTTGAGTACGCAGAAAGTTTGTGTGGACCCTCAACACGGAATATCTCAGCCATCGAACTTATTGCTAAGTCAGCAGACGCGGAGTGCTGGAGGACTGGCTGAAGAAGGTACAGCCATCCTACGCCCTCATCTGCTAACGTCTGCAGCAGGCAGGCTGGGTGCTCCTGGTGGGGTAATGGAGCAGCACGTGTCACCCGCGTCCGCTGTCGTCTACAAATACGGACATTGTCCTACCACCGACACCCACTCGGACGTTGTGCATTTGCCTACCAGGATCAAATTCATCGATCTTGTAGAAAAGTCGGTGTTTTATCGCAAGTGGAAAGTGGCAAACATCCCCTTCTAGCCGTTTGTTGAAAAAAAGCCACTTTGTTACAATGTAAATGAATTGTTTCTAAGTATTATGCGTTTTTCATATTATTAGTTCATCATGATGTACATTAAATTAATTCAATCAAATTTCATTTATAATTAAAATTGATTTAACACAATAGTTTTACGTAGACAAAATACAGAGAAGTTTGCTTCGTGGGCAGGGTTACATTTACTCAATTTGATCCTATTTTAATCGCGTCAAAATGTTCATGGGTGTTTCGGAGGCGCCTATCTGATGATATTAGTCGTATTGTTTAATTTTAGTTCGAATGTCTGCTGTTGATATTAAATGTTTGAAGATTCGTCACATTCTAAGAGTCCTATGCCGCTTCAGAGGGTTGGAGTTATGTTCTAAATGCCAACATTTATAAATCTACCTTATTACTCTAAAGAATAATTTTAGAATAAATTAGAAATTTTATTTTGTAAAATTGAATTTTGTTTAAATCAAGGTTGAAGAAATTCTACTCTGTGACAGTCGTTGTCACATTTGTCCGCTACATCGTTTGCACAATTATCATCACACAGCTCAATGTGTTGACTCACGTCGCTTACTGCGCGTTATTTGTGTAAGCCATCAATGGAGTTGTATTTTAGTCGCGCGTCACGTGAAATAAAGATCATAAGTTGGAGAAACGTGGTGCCATTTAAATTAGTGTTGAGTGTGCCGAACAGGCGTGAGTGTCGAAAAATTTGGAATAGGATTATACATACCATTTTGTAATGCACAATAAAAAAATTTCCAAGCCCTTTTTCAAAGACGAGAACTTCTAGAATATGAACATCGTTCACAGTGGCCTTTTTGATTTCAAGGATATAAAAAAGTGAGGATTGTAACGATTATGGAAGACCAGATTATGATCGTTCTTCTGAGTGGGAGAAACGACCATAAAGAATCCGCTCCAAAAGCCAACTTTAAGCCATGTTTTTCATCAAGTCGTTCTGAAAGGCACAGGTGTAATATCATTGTCGCAAAACCATCCTTATCAAGCGAATATACCATTACGCCTAGTACGTCTTCCTGTCGCGGTAACATCTTCGTGGCAGATTTTTTTTTAAATTTTCGCTTCATCAGCTGTTCAGGTAGATTAAAACACATATAAAGTTAGATAAAATTACAAAGTTTAGTTATTCAAATTTAATCTTTATTAGGACCACGCGTTGCACGCCTACTCTTAGCTTACTTTGATCCAGATTTATGTTGCTTCTATTACATAACCAACTGTACCGTTTACATGTTTATTTAAAACAATTTTGTATAAAAAAATGCATTATTGAGACAAAAAAGAAATAAAATTTTACTCAGCTTAATATTTCCATGGCATTATTATACTCTCCTATACAAGTAACAGAATTTCTCGTGCGGCAAAGAAAGTAACATTTCCGTTTCCTACTCGACAAATGAATGAATTTACAGGTTTTTTTTTTTTTGAAGAAAGCATTCAACTGCACAGCTTTGTGCTGTAATCTCCAGCCTGAAGATTTTCATCACGTGACAGGAGTTGCCGATGCTCTTAGCTCCAATTTGGCGTACATTTCCCTGCAAAAAATATCACGGTCATAAAAAATATCATAAAAAATATAAATAAAAATATCAATGCCCCGCGTTACAACTCTGTTTACTGCTTGATCAATGTGACTGTAAAATTATGATCTTAACAATCTGACTTCTTCCAATAAATACTGAAAACCTATATTGTATTATTATCAATAACATGTCACTTTCTAAGAATGATAATAACTAAAAGCACAAGTACGCAGCAATATTTTCAGTTTTCTGAGCTGTAGATGAATGAACTTTGGAGCAAGTTTATGAATTGAATATTGGTGCAAGTATTATTCTAAGCTGTAGATGAATGAATTGAATTTTGGACGAAGTATTAGATAGATAGATGCATTCTTACCTGAGTTTCACGTCGACGCCAGTGCCGCGCTTCTGCTCGGTGTCAGCGACAGCGGCGAGGACGGAGGGCAGAGCAGCGCGCACAAGAGGGGCGTGCAGGAGGCACAGTCCCGTCAACACGGCGAACACTTTGCTGCTCTGCCACGACAGCTGGCCCGCCACCCACTCCCCCACACACGACACCAGGCACGACCTGTTCAGAAATAGTTTTAGTTGTTAAGGGAGATACCTGGTATTGTTCAAGTCAAAGTTGTAAAGGAGATATTGTTGTAAAAGGAGATATCAAGTTGTAAAAGGAGATATCAAGTTGTAAAAGGAGATATCACGTTGTAAAAGGAGATATCAAGTTGTAGAAGGAGATATCACGTTGTAGAAGGAGATATCACGTTGTAAAAAGAGATATCAAGTTGTAAAGGAGATATCAAGTTGTAAAGGAGATATCAAGTTGTAAAAGGAGATATCAAGTTGTAAAAGGAGATATCAAGTTGTAAAAGGAGATATCAAGTTGTAAAAGGAGATATCAAGTTGTAAAAGGAAATATCAAGTTGTAAAAGGAGATATCAAGTTGAGGGTTTTACAGTACAAAACTCGACCGAGATGAGAAATTGATCCACTGATGTACTTATTAAAGAACTTGTATTGTATTGTTAGGTAAGTTTTCATTATTTTGAGATCTTTATAAATGGATTAATAATAAGATTTTAGATATTTATGTCTATAAAATTTTAGATTCATTTTTTCTAAGACCTGCCGATCAACCTCCTCAGAAACTTTGGTCCCGCTAAGGTCAGCAAATAACTATTTTTATTAATGTTTTTTTTTTGAGAACCTGCGCTGAAGTTATGCCGCTGTAGCTCTATATCGTGAACGATGACTGTATCGTCAACAGGACAATGGGTAATGGCATACATCGATGAGGTTGCGAGACCATAAGAATCGTTGTAATCAATCCATTAATCACAAATAAATTTATCCACTGACGCTTTAATGAAACTATACAGACTGGCAACATGCGTAGTTCCAGCACAAAGAACGACCATCCAACTACATACAGTAATATAAATAGCGCAGTAAGCGAACTGCTGTGCTTAGATAAATACGACAATACGTTAATACTTATTTGAATCGAGTCATAAGTTTAAAAATTAAATTCATATTTAATGCGTCAATAAATATTGTGATAGAAATTGTAATATTTGTGCAATTGAAAGAATTTGACCCAATTCAATTATTTGATTTAACATATCATTATTCAACAATACAAATTTTTAATGTATCACGAACTACAACAAATAGCCTATTCTTCTATTATCAACTTTGTTGCACTGCACAATTCACGGGCAGTTTAATATTACAGAGCTCATTTGTGGGGAAAATCCTACTTAGCATAGCTCGACTCACAGATCAGGATTGCCCCGACGCTGCGCCACGGCGAACATGGCCCTGAGCAGCTCAGAGATGCAGCGCGTGGTGGTCTTGTCGTCCGACACGAGCAGCAGCTGCAGCAACGGCGACAGTAGAGTCATCACTGCTTCAGAGCACCAGCGCGCTCCTCGGCTGCTCGCCTGAAATACAAAAAATTATATCAGCACTCACTGCAGTGAGTGACAGAGAGCGCATTTTCTCGACGACGAAAACGTGAAGTCACGGACGGACAGACAAACAGACGGACATGGCGAGCACAACAGTGCAATTTTTTCATAAATGAGAAAATGCGCTAAAAAGGGATTTTAGTTTAGAACTTTGCGTTAAACCTTGTTACATTCATTGGCCAAGTGGTTTTTAGTATTTAAAAATATTTCAGGAAAAATATAAATTTAACGAGTACTTTATGCGAGCAGCAAATATGAGGAGATTCACACCGTGTTACAAGATTGAGGCAGATCTGTAGATTGACATGATGTAATATTGTGCGGACTAAACTTTTGCACCGCTGGTTTCAAAAAGAAACTATGGTATACTTACTGGCATTTGTGATTCATTCGAGTGATCCTGGCTGCTATCGACCGCATTCAGAGCTATTAGCACCACCTGCAACGCCTGGAGGAGCAACACAAAGCGCTTCAAAATCAGAGATCGGAAAAGGTACACCGCCATTAGCATCATGCGGGGTCGTTGCTCTATCACTGCGGCAGCACTTCCCCATTAGGCAGATGCCAAATTACAGGATTTACAAGCTCCCCTGGTGAAACATAAAAATCGTATGGCCGAATATGTAAAAACATGTTCTTCAGAAACCTGTGTGAAGTGTGTTCTTTTTGCCACTGAAAGGACAAAGTTCACGTCTTTGAATTGTGTAGGATACTTTGGACCTTGTTTTTTTTCGGAACGGGTGTGACGAACCCGACGGTTGACAGTATATAGCCTGTCTACCGCGTCGGCGTCCGCGCCATCCAGCCCGCACAGCATCACCTGCGGCAGGCAAGCGCACTTAATACTCAGTACGAGTTGAGGCGAACACGTGTTAAAACATTAAAATTTTACCAATTTACTGCACTGATATATTTTTTACTGTGACAGACAAGTGCACTTAATACTCAGTACGAGTTGAGGCGAACACGTGTTAAAAAAGTAAAATTTTACCAATTTACTGCACTGATATATTTGTAAGCGAAAACAATATGATGAAAGTTACACAAGTAATATGTTTATGAGTGAGAACAGAGAGGTGTCAGTGACTATAAGTTAGCGAGATGTTAAGGAGTGACAACAGAAAGATGGTAGTTAGGGATAAAATATATGTTAGTGGCAAGAGAGAGATGTCAGTGCGTAAGAAAGACATAACTGGGTGGCTACCAAGACGAAAATCAGAGAGCTCCAAATGAGACAAATATCAGGAAATGGCAATAGACCAATATCAGGAAATGGCAACAGACAAATATCAGGAAATGGCAACAGACAAATATCAGTAAGTACCAACTGAAGAGAAATGACGAAATGGCAAGAAATGACTACTCAAACTTGAAGAAAATAGTGTGAAAAATGATTAATTGCATTTCATTCAAGTTCTATTCATACGCGACAGTAGAGTAGTAATTATTCATGAATAATTAAACATTATTTCTACCATAAAACTCGAGCACGAGTTGCTTGAGTGGACGTACGACACAAGGGTGTTGAGGAGTGGCGGGGTAGCGATGCATGTAGTTCGTGAGCACAGACCGAACCAGGCGACTCAGGAAAGCATCTTGCTGCACTGGCAGGGAGCACAAACCAAGCACAAACTGCACACAGCATGGCATAAACATAAATGAAGTCTTGATGCCTATAGAAACACTATAAAAATTCATTCGACAAATAATTTGAAGAGCAAAATTAATTTTTCTAGGATTATCGATAATTTGGGCATAGCAGAAATTCATGGTCTAAAGAAAACGAGCTGTAAGTTTGATTGCTTTACTCGGGTTAGGACACACCATACCTCTTCTAAAGACGAAAATAGCACTTCAGTGCAGGAAAAAATAGCTTACTTTTGGAAGAGACTGCTGCATGGGCCTGGTGATATGTAGAGGCATCACCGAGTCCAACTTATATGATGCCTTCGTCAGCACAATGCACGACAACCAAGCTCCCAGTGGGCAGTTCGTTCCTTTACTCTGAAACATAAATGCATGAAATACGTCAGAAACGATAAAGAATTTCCTCTACTCTCTACATTTACATTGACAATACGAGTAACGACTAGGAACTGCCTTCATTCTCTAACTTTGCATTGAAAATCGAGCAACGACTAGGCACTTCTTCCGCTCTCTTAGGAGGGCATTAACAAATGGAGGAACGTCTTCATTCTCTAACTTTGCATTGACAATCGAGCAACGACTTCTTTCACTCTCTAGTTTAGAATTGACAATTCGAATAACAGGCTCCAATACAACGCCTTCACAGCAGGATGTAGAATAAATCTCTCATTATTCACAGTAACCAACGATGCAAAAGCGGTCAAATAACATCACATGGGATTAGAAATCACTGACCAAACAATGTCATGCCTACCATAACATATACGTATTCTTTCTCGAACTTTGTTTGCATGATATCGGAGAATTAACTCAACAGCCTCAACTTTAGCCAATGACAATTTGCTCCGAATTAACTTTGGACGTAAAATTTTCTAAGGTCTCTGGATATCAATTTTGAAAGTTATTAAACAAAATTTGCCACGGGATGCAAGATTGGACCTTGTTGTAGAGTAAGTAAGGGGCGTGGAGAACCGCGTCAGCGAGCGTGGCCAGCAGCTGAGCGAGGTGAGAGGGGGGAGGAGTTTGCTGCATGGCGGCCACAACTGCCTTGTCGAGACCCTGCAGCAGCGACATGCAGCACCGCTGCATCTGGTGTTTACTAGCAAGAGTCTGCACAGTAAGGAATAATGTTCAAAATAAGTTGCAGTTCCGTTAAAATCAACATCTAGCCCATCATTGAATTCATTATCTTTAACGTCGAACAAGTGACTCCAATATCACAGTGTAAATATAATGAATTAATAGCGAACTTTAGAACTGCATATAGGAGTACAGAAGAATTAAAAATGTTGATTTTTAGCTAGACGCATAAACTATAAAGCTGCCCGAAAGAGATTCTTAGTGAGTGAGTTTCTTTATAAAAGAAATTTAAATTATGCTAAATTCTTAATATTAAATAAATCAAACAAAAAAAAAGAGAGTGGTACAAAAGTAATCATAATAAGTGAAGAGACTGGAACATAGGAGTGATACTAACGGCCGCATTCTGGTGCTCTCTGGACAGAGCTTTTACGAGGGAAAGCAACGCCGCGAAGGGGCAGGCGGGAGGGTTGGGCAGGAAGCCTCTGACGACGCCCAGCTCCATAACGGGGGCAACAAGGGCGAGGAGCTGAGTGTTGTCACTGCCCAGCGCCGCGACGTAACAGAAGAAGCGCGACACCATCGCCTCCTCTTGTACGTGCAGGGAACCTGGAGGTTGAGGCACCAGCGACACTTCAGTCACCAGCAAGCGACGGCCTTCAACGTTGGAAGGGCGGCGGCTGAGTGACGGCAGCAGCAGTACACTCAGGTAACGCAGCTGACACCTTCAGTGTAATCGTTAAGATATAATGAAATTAGAACGTTGCGGTAACAGGACCAGCTATTCTATTAGTTTCTCATCAGGCCTCATGAACTAATGCCTCGATTTTCAATTACCATATCATCCCTTTCAGAAATGGTTGGATTATTATATTAGCTTATAATTAATTATATTATATTTATTAGCTTATAATATACTAATTAAAATTTGCTTCATCTTTTCAGGTGTGTAAAACAAATTTTGAACAAATTTCATTATTGTGTCACAGTAACACATCGGTTGCAACACAGGCTACTCACTCTATGTTCACTCGTTCACTACAAAGAAAGTGATTAAAAATAACGGATGCTGCTTCTTTATGGTTCACTCTGTAGTCAGAGGCACCAGAAGCCTTAAAGGCGATGTTAGAAGCGTCCATATTAGAGCTGCAGGGGCTCTTGGTGGCGGGTATGACGGTGACTTGGTTGAGGGTTGCAAGGGCGGCGTGTGAGAGGGTGAGGGCAGCGGCCGCGTCAGAGAGCTCCTCAGGAGGCGTCTGCGTGGTGCTGTGCTGCAGCAGGAAGCTCCCCACGCTGCGCTCTATGCTCGCCACCAGCTGGTCGCCTGAGGCTGCACAAAGTCTGCACAGCGCTACCTCCATCTTCCGGGATTTCTGGTATGATGAACTCCACGCTCGTACACAATCCTTAATTGCTCTTAGTTTGTTCTCTCCCACGTTCAGCCACTGTTCCCGCCAGATATGGCGGATGCTTGCCTTGATGATAGGGTGAACAAAAAGGCCAAAAAGGCCTATAACTCAATATGTACTAGTAGGTATATTTGTAGGTTCCGGTGTAAAAATTTAATTTTTTTAGTTAATTAGGAAGTGCCCCTTAAAACCACTATCATAAATTTTAGCCAACGAACGAAATTGAAAAAACTAAATGGCGGAATTTGTCCGGTAAAAAATGAAAGTCTGGCAACCCTCTTCCATAATAGTACTAGAAAAATGAAACAAAAGTACAAGATGAAACAATCGTAGTCAACGTGTTAAATGACAATGAAGCACTACACATTCACAGCAACTAACCAGTACTTCAGTCTGCTGCTTTAAATGAATACTTCGTGCTGCGCGCATAGATGAATTTTTTCCCAGAGCAATAAATTAAAAGCTGTCCCCAGCTTTTAATTTTATTTTTTTCCAAATTTAATTTTAATTTTTCCAATACCGTATTTAACTTAATACTCTCAACTGTCTGCGCTTTTAATTCTAATTTTTTCCAAAATTTAATTCTAATTTTTCCTATATTTAATTTAATACTCTCAACTGCCTGCCCCAGCCTAGACTCAGAAAACGAATGGGCCACACTATCCAAATAGTGACACACTTTCTCATCCACAGCACATGATCAGAGCGCACCTAGCACAGATACGTCTTTTTCGACGTGCCAAAGTGTGTCAGGATGACCTACTCAACAACAGAAAGTACATCGCTATTAGGACCAAGTCATTCATTTCTAAGAGAAACGTCGTTCATTTCTCAGAGAAACGTCGTTCATTTCTCAGAGAAACGTCGTTCATTTCTCAGAGAAACGTCGTTCATTTCTCAGAGAAACATCGTTCATTTCTCAGAGAGTCGTTCATTTCTCAGAGAGTCGTTCACTTCTCAGAGATCGTACTGACCAGCACCAGGTCCGGCCGAGTAGAGCACGGGCGCCAGCGACGTCGTGATGCTCACCAGCAGCTGCTGCAGGTCAGCGCAGCTACAGGTCCCCAGCAGCCCTTCCAGCCAACCATCTGCAGCACATGCGTCATATCAAGTAAACCATCATGTAAGTAAGTAAATAAGTAAGTAAGTAAGATCAAATAAGTAAACCTCATCATGGTATCGTATTAAAACATCCACGAGCTGTTACTAGCAACAACTTTGCATGAAATGTAGTTATTGTACACAAACAATTAATCAATCAGAAGCTAACGAAAATAAACTGAGAAATTCGATGGTGATAAAACTTAGTATATCGCAGAAGTTCATGTTCTGGGGCACTGGGCGAATTATTCATATTTTAGTTTGGTAATTCTCGCAAATACAAACTGGTCCTGCCTTTCCATCTATAACAGAAAGAAGCTCAGCAACTTGAATCAAGCGTTTATTTTAGCACTGACACATTCAAATAGTTGTCACCTTATCATGAGATTGGACCAAGCCCATAGGAGATCATTTTGTCCCACGAAATACGAGCATTATTGAAAAAAATATAACTCAGTACTCACTGCAGTGAATGACTGAGAGCGCATTTTCTCGTCGACGAAATCGTGGTCACGGACGGACGGACGGACGGACAGACAGACAGACAGACAGAAGGACATGACGAGCACAATAGTGCATTTTTAAATGAGAGAATGCGCTAAAAACGCGCGTGGTGTGTGGGCACGCGGATATTTCTCACCAAAGAGCCGGTGTTGGCCAAGGGCGAGGTTCCTGGAGCTGCAACAAACCTCGGCGGCCGCGGCGCAGAACGCACACAAAGCTCGCCCAGCCTCCCTGCACGTGGTAGGTAGGAGAACGATAACAGTGAGGGCAAACAATCAAATACAAGACAGACAGTAAAAAAAACTCTTGATTGAAACGCTGACAATATATGATGTTTCAATTGACAATATATGATCTGCTTCAACTGACAATTTATGATCTGCTTCAATTGAAAATATATGAATGAATTTTAATTTATTATGAATGATGATCTGCTTAATTTATGATCTGCTTCAAATGACAATATATATGATCTGCCTCAATTGACAACATATGATCTGCTTCAATTGACAATATATGATCTGCTTCAATTGACAATATATGATCTGCTTCAATTGACAAGATATGATCTGCTTCAATTGACAATATTTGATCTGCTTCAATTGACAAGATATGATCTGCTTCAATTGACAAGATATGATCTGCTTCAATTGACAAGATATNGCTTGGACCAAGCCCATAGCAGTTCATTTTGCCCACGAAATACGAGCTTTATTAAAAAAATGTAACTCAGTACTCACAGCAGTGAATGACAGAGAGCGCATTTTCTCGTCGACGAAATCGTGGTCACGGACGGACGGACGGACAGACAGACAGACGGACATGACGAGTACAATAGTGCATTTTTTCATAAATGAGAAAATGCGCTAAAAACGCGCGTGGTAAGTGGGCACGCGTATATTTCTCACCAAAGAGCCGGTGTTGGCCAAGGGCGAGGTTCCTGGAGCTGCAACAAACCTCGGCGGCCGCGGCGCAGAACGCACACAAAGCTCGCCCAGCCTCCCTGCACGTGGTAGGTAGGAGAACGATAACAGTGAGGGCAAACAATCAAATACAAGACAGACAGTAAAAAAAACTCTTGATTGAAACGCTGACAATATATGATGTTTCAATTGACAATATATGATCTGCTTCAACTGACAATTTATGATCTGCTTCAATTGAAAATATATGAATGAATTTTAATTTATTATGAATGATGATCTGCTTAATTTATGATCTGCTTCAAATGACAATATATATGATCTGCCTCAATTGACAACATATGATCTGCTTCAATTGACAATATATGATCTGCTTCAATTGACAATATATGATCTGCTTCAATTGACAATATATGATCTGCTTCAATTGACAATATATATGATCTGCTTCAATTCAAGCCTTATAGCACGAAAACCTTCTTTGCCTGAATATAATGAATGTATTTATTTTTTTTATCCTTCAGTCTAAATAGCGAGTGAATGACAAGCCTACGGAGATAAGACTACGTCCTAATAATTGATTCAAGTTTAGGTCCCCATTTTTGGGTCTGATCTCCGGCCTATCTCAATTGAACAATTTTAATTTATTGCAAGTCTTCATAGTTGTTCTATTCACGATGTTAGTAATGGCAATGCCTAAAATCAGGTCAGAATTTGCATGAATTTTCACCTGGTTTATATGATCGTTAGCAACCGGAAGCGAATAATTTAGTTTGTAAAGAAATATTGAACGCTCATGAAGCCAGCTTACCTCTGGATGAGTATATCGCGCGTGGACGTGTGTAGCTGAGCTACCTGTCTCTTATACACATCTAGATGTGTATAAGAGACAGTGACAATACATATGATCTGCTTCAATTGACAAGCTATGATCTGCTTCAATTGACAAGCTATGATCTGCTTCAATTGACAATATATATGATCTGCTTCAATTCAAGCCTTATAGCACGAAAACCTTCTTTGCCTGAATATAATGAATGTATTTATTTTTTTTATCCTTCAGTCTAAATAGCGAGTGAATGACAAGCCTACGGAGATAAGACTACGTCCTAATAATTGATTCAAGTTTAGGTCCCCATTTTTGGGTCTGATCTCCGGCCTATCTCAATTGAACAATTTTAATTTATTGCAAGTCTTCATAGTTGTTCTATTCACGATGTTAGTAATGGCAATGCCTAAAATCAGGTCAGAATTTGCATGAATTTTCACCTGGTTTATATGATCGTTAGCAACCGGAAGCGAATAATTTAGTTTGTAAAGAAATATTGAACGCTCATGAAGCCAGCTTACCTCTGGATGAGTATATCGCGCGTGGACGTGTGTAGCTGAGCTACAGCAGACACAAACGTCATGAGTGGGGCGCCTGCCGNGTTATCCTACCACACAAATTCAATGTGCCGCTAATATACTAGCTACCAACTGGAAAATTCGTTATCCTACCACACAAATTCAATATACATAAGAGTAGCTACCAGTAGCAGCTAGAAAATTCAAAGTATTTTCAGAGTGAGGTCCAGCACTAAGCAAAAATTTCATCAGAAGATGCAAATCAATTTTATTCCATTTCACTGTTTTGTCCCTTTCATAAGAATGCTAATGAGTATAAAATAATACTGGATGCATAGAAATCTCAATTGTGAGAATTTGATATAACCGTAATTTAATGAAAGTAAACCTGCGAATTTATTATCAACGGTACAAGCGCTTCAGAAAACCTGGGTAATATTTTGTGTGAACTACACTGCACGCATTAAGAAATGACATAAATTGGAAGTGAATTCATTATATTGGTAAATTCCAAAACTTATGGGATATCCAAACTGGCGAACAAGAAATCAACAGAGCATAAGATTTGTTGATTAACACTCGCCAACAATTCTGAGGAAGATGTTCCAGGAGGACTCATTGGAAGACAGCTGCGTGGGATCGCTGCTGCGCTGTCTAGCGGCCACGACCCACTCGCGAGCTTGGGAACTGAAACGAGAAGGAAATATTTACCAACGAATTCCTACAGCAATGCTGGAATAAATGTAGCAGGTCAATGAAGTCCATATTCATTTTATCTGGATGAAGTTGGAGGAACAGATCTGTCTACCTGACTCGTTTAAGGTTTGTTTGGTAAGCAATAGGACTGTCATTTTTCCATCGCTTCATTATGCAGCGCGCATGCGCTAACTGGATTAGTATAGTATGTTTTTGGCTAACGACCGATAGGTTGGCCAATGGTTTAAGAGCATCCAGAGCGTCAGGACAAACGTTCTGCACAACTTATTATTTCGAGCGGCGCAAGCTGCCAAGATCCTGTTAGACTTCTAAAAAATATTTCCTTTCGTTGTTCTTTTAAGTGAGTAAACAAGAAGTCCAAGAGGGGCGAGGTAAAGTTGGGTAACTTTCAGTCGGCTGCAATGTGTTCTTGCAACCGATTGAACTTTCGTTCCAAGTCGCTTTATAATTTTCACGAAGCTGTCAAACTTGGAGTTGATGGTTTTTTTTATGAAGGAGGCATCACATTTAGGCGATGATAAATTTGTTCCCTGCGTAAAAACAATTAGCCAACAATATGTTCAGCTGTGAACTCCTTTACCGAACCCAATCAGAGAATGCGTGCTCCAAATACTATCGCGAGGAAAAAAACTAACCTATTACATTTCAGACAAACCCTAAACTTCAATTTAAAAAATTAAAATATCGTTTTAGTGTAGTTTTTACAAGGTAAATCACTTCCAGACATGCTGACCTGACACACGCAAGTCCGTGCATAGAATTAGCCCCCGTGAGGAGGAAGGAGCTGTCAAGGTTTCTTGCAAAATATTTCTCCCACACGAGCATTGCCACCTGGAGGCAGCGGGGCTCAGCCACCCACATCGATGTAAGATGCACGCAACACCGCATGACGCGACGCATAGACTCCTCAGGTAAACTGGACTTGACAGGAGCTGTGGTGCTGCTGCCTGCAGCAACAGACGCGCTACCTCCGCTGCTGTTGCCGCTGCTGCTGCTTGATAACTGATGTCTTGTAGGACGCTCCGTCAACAGATGATTCAGCAGCTCCATTAACAGCTGCGCGCCAGTGACCATACGAGGCTAAAAAGTTCAACAGATGTTAGCTTAAATGTAGTAGGGTTTTGACCAATAATAAAAGGAAAATTCGTCCGATTTGAACTGTAAATAACACAAGCACCTTTTAAGCACGTGAAACCCATTTCTGTTAGGGTCATTATCGTATTATAACGAACGACAGCTACTTAATGAATTTATTATTTACTAGCATACCATCATCAGGATGAGAAATTAACAAGTTATCACACATAAAAGCTACTCACATCTTTAGAAGGGATGGCATGCCCGTGCTCGTTGAAGCATAAACATTTAGCAAATGTTAGCAAGATCTCAAAAGGAAGAGCAGGATGAATGCCTTTGAGCTCGGCTGGAGGAAGCTGAGGTAACGAGGAAGACTGAGCACCGAGGTTCAAAACGGAATCTTGCACTTGACGTGAGAGGAAGAGAAGCCGTGGTCGAAGCAGGTCCCAAAATGACTGTTTCAAAGATTTTGGTGGGATTATCATCCTGAGAAAAACTTAAGAATTATTTTTGAGTTAGCCGGAAAAAAATGCTCCACACACGCATCAGTAAATGACATATGAAATAAAAATTTCATAGGATAATTTCATTTAAATAAATTTATACTATGTTTTTCAGGATGGAAATGATATTCAAGCACATTGATGCTGTAACACACCGAAGTGCCTAGGTCCTGGTGGTGTTGTTGTGACAATAGAAGTACCGTGAGCGCAACTTCATGGCTGCAGCTGCAGGGTAAACCTGCTCCCTGTCTTCCATCCTCAGCAGGCATGCTTAAAGAGGCCTTCATAGAATGGAAAACACATTCATATAACATCTTTCAAACTTCTCCCGCCAATTTTTCATTATTTAAATAAACTACACTGAATTTGCTGCAACTTTATCCACCTTTTACATGAACTACAATGCCATCAACTATTCACTTGCACTGCTCAGAGGTTTCATTTATTTATCCTTATTTGTCACACTTTTTTTTGAGGCACACTCACCTTGGAAACTTGCCGTGCCATAAGCGTCATCAGGTCCCAGAGGATAAAGACAACGCACTGAGTGAAGTGACCATCACTGTCACTTAAGCCACTAGCCATCATGGATTGAGCCTCGTGTGCAGTGTTACTAGAAGCCATCACTGTGAGCGGCTCCCTCAGTAGAGGTGGACCGGAACAGTATGGGTGACTTGGAGGAACAGGCAACGAGCCTAAACGTGTCTCCAGCATGTATATTATGGCCAGGCTCCACCATCTTATGTCCAGGTGCAGGTGGAACAGATGATACGCAGCCGATGGACACTGTCACCGTAACATTTAAATCATTAAACATTTATTTAAACTAAAATTTGAATCTGCACAGATATATTTTAATCTAAACAATATAAGCAAATTATATAGTTTGAAGTTTTAGGTATATAGAAGCAGTTAATACAATTGCTGATAATGATGAGAATCACTACTGAATTTTCAATTGGTATGTTAGCTAGTACAACATTCACAGAGCTCCGGTCATGCAAAATACCTGGTTGCCCAAAGGGGACACAGCTGAGGTGACATGTTGATTCAACTCAGACAATGGACCAATATAGTTTAGAAGATCTAAGATATCCCCAATCACATCTGCACATACTGACTTACAAGCAACCTGTTTAAAAAAAGATTGTATTAAAATATTTCAGTTACATAAAACCAGCAGTTGTGGTTATACTATTTGATTTCAGTTCATGCTTCTTATAATTCAGTTTTCCAGGAACAATACAAAAATAACTGAATGTGTGGATCCAGCATATTCAGGGCATAGTTTCTGCAAATCATTTCACTGACCTGATTGGGATTGTTCAAGCTGGTCGATTAGTCATCATCAAATGATACAAAGCATAGTTTTTCATGTTCATTTCAGTAACCTGATTGGAATCACTCAAACTAGTTTTTATGTTCTTATCAAAAGATACAGAGCATGATTTCTGATGATCATTTTGCTGACCTGATTGTAATCATTCAAACTAGTCTTTATGTTCTCATGAAAAGATACAAAGCATGATTTCTGTTGATCATTTCACTAACCTGATTGGAATCACTCAAACTAGTCTTTATGCTATCATCAAATGATACAAAGCATAGTTTCTGATTATCATTTCACTGACCTGATTGGAATCATTCAAACTAGTCTTTATGTTATCATCAAGGAAGCACCAGAGGCAGTTGTACAGCATAACAACTTGCTGCCGCAGCTGCTCTGCAGTAGTCCACATTGTGCTACCCAACTGAGGCAGGCCAAGAGTAGATACCTTATTGCATTGTTGTTCCAAGACATTGATGCTTTGCCTGGCAGAACAATAATATTTTTAGCTAGAATCTGGATTAAATTGGATGCTATAAATAATAAGTTTGACATAAGAAATATTATTGACAAATGGTGATATGTGTAGTTGAAAAATGAAAATTTGACAGAAGCTTTCTTTGCATTACCTGACTCCATTAATGAAGTGATCCCTGTTGAAAAGTAGCATGTCTGGAGAACAAGGTAATTGAAAGACCACAGGCACATCTTGAGTGACAGCATTGCTGCTGCTGCAAAGCTCCTTCCAGGTACACAAGGATTGTCCATGTATCACAGCAGACAGAGCTCCGCTCTGCACTATACTGCCTTCAACACCAACTTTCTGATTGAGGAGAGCAGCCCCAGAGCACTCAAATGTGACAAGTCCTCTTGTTGCTGCATTGCCGGCCTCTACAAGTACAACATATCAAAACATGACTACATAGCTAATGATATAAAACCACATGATACAGAAATTATATGCACTAAATACAAATATGTAAATGCCACCAAACATTTATCAACACACATGAAAATGTAATTATCTATTTTCACATGCCATGACTATTTTGGCCTCTACTTAGAATAACAACTTGATGACTTAGAAATAGCTGAATTTATCTATACATGTTTGGCAACTAACATCTGTTATGATTAATATATTTCAATTTCTAGTCTAGGTATTTCTAATGCAATTGCTACAGCAAGATGGTACTTGCCATTTTTATTGGAGCTTGTCAGGTGCTGAGCTTCAACTTGCTCAAGAAAATCAATATCAAGAGCATCTTCAGTAAGCCAGTCCTCCCAGTCTGGCGATGGCATCAGACAATGCCTTGGAAAATACACATTCTATAGTTGGTAATGAGCATAGGGGTTTGAGTTATAAAAAGCATAAGAAACAATAGAGCACAACATGAATCTAATTATAATTGATCTAGGTACTACTAAACCTGCTATTTTTTTACCAACAATATTTACTCATTAGCTCACGAATTTGAAATTTAATCTGAGTAGAAGCAATGATTTATTGCATAGTAAGTTGTTAGTAGGCCCAAGTTGACCAATATTAACACTCAGCAAGAGTTGATGAGACTGAGAATCTTCATTATTGGTTCCACACTCTCATTATTGTCTATGTTTGTTTTACTGATCATTCAACAGTTTCTTGCAATGTAATATATTGAGCCAATTAAGATTAATATCAAATTAGGCACAGTTAAATAATGAGTTCTCATACACACCTGCTAAGTAATGAGATGTTCAATTTGAGTAAAGTAAGCTGCAGTAGCTCACACAATGTAGTACTGGACTGCACTGCAGTAATAACCACCACCTGAAAAGCATCGGCATGGATGTGAGGGAGATGCATAAGGCTTACATAATAGGCACAATTGCATGGTACTTGCGCTAATGCTACATGAATACAAGGAAAATATGCCCTGCCTAACAGAGTAAGCACATCAGAGTGTAAGAGATGCCACACAGGAAGATGCAACTGAACCCCAACAAGGCCTAGATGAAGAATAGTTAAAACCACCATAAGAAACAAGTGACTGGCAACCCAAAAATAAAGGGAATACCCACAGAAAAAGGAGCAGAATGAAAGACTCTCCTATCAACTGCCAACACAGAAGCCTAATCCAATCCTAAAATCTAATAAGCAGGACTGAAGCATGGTTTGACTGGTGCAAGCATCTTAAGTGGGACTAATTGTGATGTGGGACTAATTCCAAAGTGCTTTCTTGTTGCATTGATGGTCATTAATTCCTTTTCTTTCTTGTTTTTCTTGTGAGGTCAGTAAGAATGATTTCCTTTAAAAACTTACAAATAGATATGCTTAGTTTCTGGATTTCATATTTGATAAAGCTGGTTAGCATCTCCATGGCATCAACTGAAGGTGGTTGTTCAGAGGTTACACAAGTAGGACTTGTATTGAGGTTGTGTCTTCTTGAAGACTGGGCCACTTGGCTATAGGTGTTCTTCTTCTTTTGGTGCATCTGGTCGTTGTGACAAATTTTTTGCTGACTGGCTGCATTGGTTCTCATTGGTGTAGTCTTTTGAAAGTGGATTTCTAGGCATCAAGCCTGTTTGCCTTCTAGCAGCATCATAAGACATGCCAACTTTTGTCAGCGAGTCTATTGCCTTAGCTTGGATGTTGTATTGACTCTCTCTATGGCTTGCAATATGAGGCCCTCCACAATTAGCACATTTATATGTTGATGTGCATACTTCTTTGGAATGGTTTCCTGTGCAGAGCAGGCAGCGCATGGGTGCTGTGCATCCACTGGAGAGGTGCCAAGGTTTTTGACATCTGTAGCATCTGAGTTGGGGTGGATTGTAGACTCTTACTTTGTATGCAATGAAACCAGAGAGGACTTTTTCTGGGAGTTGCTTTCCTTCAAAATCCACTTTTAGGACCATGGACTCTTCTTTCAGTGATCCAGAAAATTTTGGCAGTCTGGTTATCTTGACTATTTTGCAAGGTTGTTTCTGTAGGTTGACGTCCAGATCCACTGGTCCAGTGGTTGACGTCCAGACCCACTGGTCCAATGACACCTTAGAACGAGTTGATAAGATCCAATGTTGGTCTGTAACATTTGATTTGCCAGATCTCGAGCTTGGTTATTGAAAGGTTTTTCTTGTTAATGTTTTTCAGAGGGTTTGAATTCTACTGCAATAATATTATGCCTCTTGTTAATGTGGACATCATGGATTGAGGAATCATGGATTAGTTTTTGTAGTTCTCTTGCCACTGAGATCATTGCGATGGGGTCCAAGGAGATTTTTCCAGTGTCTGGAGACAGTACCATGTTGTTGTTTCCAGATGATTCATCAGTTGCATGGATTGGAAATGATTTATATTGTGTTCGTTTAGCAGATAATCTAGGAGCTTTGTTGGTGTTAGCATTAGCAGGAGTAGCTGTTGGTCAGATCAAGCTATCCGATTCTTGTTCAGATTCAGTACCAATCTGCCATTTGTACCTTCTAGGATTAGGGGACCCTTCTTGTATGTCCATGCTGGACCTAGTTGCTCCATTGTTTTCTAGCACCTTAGGCTTGGGTCAATGGCCAGTTATGTCTTCATCTGAAGATGCTCTGAGTCCAGATTGCAGGAGAGGGCCAGTGCCCACTATGCAGAGAGTGGATGAATATTGCAAGATCTTTGGCGACGCTTCAGTAGCCAAATTTTCGCCTTCAGAAGATCTTGCCAACACATTTAGATTGAAATTCTTGCATTCAATATATTTCTCAGTCTTCGGCCAACTATTTAGAAAAAAAGTAAGGTTTCCGGTACGTTGGATGGATTACGATGCAGCGAAGCTTGTCCGGAAATCAGTT